TATGTAAGAATGATATGCTAACGCGAGTTAATGAGAAAACATGAATCAGGAATAAAAGCATGTCTCTAAAACAACAAATTTCTAAAAGCAGAATATTTTCCTTATATCAAAATAAAGATCAAAAATCTTATCAAATAACGTATAAAAATATTCCGGAAAGCAAAATGATAAAATGTTATTATAATCAATGAATAATTTCTAAGAAATCCTTTTATATTTACAAAACTTGTTATTATCTTCATGTTTTCTGTATATCTATTAAACTCCCGTAAATTTCAAATCATACAGTACATTGCATACATGTACTATTTGATCCTGTGCGCTAAAAAAGTGCCTGTATCACAGACTTCTTCAGTAATGACGCATATCTACGCATTTTCTTATCGTTTAAGCATTCATATACAATAAGTTCCACTTTAAATTTCGGATTCCAATCATTTTTGTCGATACATATTTACGTAACATTATTACAAAATTTCTTTTATTATTGTTCATACGTGTTGAATATATTGTTATAATTAACGCTAATACGATTCTTGGTATAAATACAATTAACAATTAGGGCAAATGAGAAAAGCGCGGTAAGAATTGCATAATTAATAACACATTCTTATTACAAAAAAGCAATCATTTCGGCTCCTTATTGAGAGTCATCGTTAGTGGTATGTAATTATAAAAACCTGACTCCCAGAAGCAGTGAACACTATATGTGCTCACGTCAGTTCATCATGTCGAGTGAGGAAACACATTCACCCCGATTTACGATATCAAGTTGAACAAAGATATCGTAAAATAATTCCAAATAATATAAATTGCTATCGGTTAAAATTATATGAAAATTACAGATTAACGACCGAGTCAAAAGACAGTCAAATAGTATAACCGCAATGTAAGCGCAATTCTTATCGCGCTTTTCTGATTTGTCCTAATTATTAATTATATTATAAAGTTATTTCAAGTTTTGTATCCTATATTTTAATTATAATAAACAGATGCAAGCCGAAAAGAATTAAATCATTATTGTTTTAAAAGTCATTCATTTTTATCTCACTGTACATAGCTGCAGTGAACAAAGAAAGTCTTAAAAACAAATAAATAAATCAACAGCAAAATTTTTGATCTAACATTGAAATCCGAAATTTGTAATAAAATAATTATATATATATATATATATATATATGTATATATAGTAGTAAGTCATGTAATTTGTATAAATTAATATTTCAGCCGAAAACACTGAAAAAATTACTTTGATAATGATTTAATAGAAAAATAGACAGCTAATAATAAAGAAAATATATTGTAATGTGTTTGTAACATTCGAGTTATTTTTAAAATGAATTACAAAATCTATTTTAAAAATAACTTGAATGTTATAAACATACATTTTTTATGTTATATTCATCAAAACAATTTTTTAAATTACGAATATCTCTCAATATCAATTAAAAATTGTAACAGATTACACAATTGATACAATATGTGTATCAATATGCAATATGCAATATGTGTATCAATTATAATGTACATATAAACTTAAATATTGATTTTGTAATGAAAATTGTTCTTTGTTCAAGAACAAAAATATTAGATTTGAAAAAGAAACAATGATATTGCTTTATCACACATCGCTTCTTTAGCGTAATATCAAAATATCTTTAAATAATAAGATTTGGATTGTTTTGATAAAATTATAAATTAACACTAATAAAATTAGTTAGCTACATGAAATCAGTAATATTATTAAATAAATAAAACGATATAAAGTAATAAGAGATATAATTTTGGAATCACATTATCATTAAAAAGATTTAAAAATTTATTATTTCTTTCAATTCTAGCATTTAAAGATATTTTAGTATATATTGAAGTAGCAACATGTCATTATATAAATACAAATGAACAACAGCATTCCCATAACCAGCAAAATCTCTATACAAATGAACATTCTCAATCTAATTACTTATGATATGTTGACAAAGTGTTATGTATAATTTATGTATAATCTCATACTTGATGAGATAAAATTATATATTTATTAAAAGAATTTTCTGAGTCACATATATAGATATATACGTAACATAATTTTGCAAAGTATATTTTGGTATATTTGTAAACACGTGTTATAATATGTGTATTATATGCAACACATACATTTTTACCTACATTTTTTGTATGATATAGAGATATCATCTCAAATGTTAAAATATTTTTCTTACTATTATCAAATAGTACAGTGAATGCAATATTAGTATTTTGAGTATCGAAATTCTCATATCTGTTTATTTTTCACTGGGCAGTCTTAAGAAGTTGATGGTTATCGGATGGTTATCATTTGCATATAAAATGAGTCAAACATTATTGTTATCAATAATGATGCGAAATACGTAAGTCGCTAAAAGCCTTAATTGTAATTATAATTGTAATAACGGGAATTTAGATTTACGTAGTAGACGAGGTTTGCTGTTGACTATATTCCAATAACGCTATTGGAAATGTCTTGATGTGCGTTTGCCATTGCGCCGATAGTTGGAAGAATTTTACACCATACCATTCGGTACCATCAATACTCACTGTAATAAAAATAATAAATACTACTACTAAAGGATTAATGTAAAACTATTAATTAAATTAATAATAATAAGAGAAAAAAATTACAGTTTTGCAGCATTTAAATCTTTAAATCAATTTCATTTTACATTAAATATGAAAATGTTATATATGAAAATGTTATATATAAATGTTGAATATTGAAAATGTTATATATAATTTATAGTAAAATTCCAAAAATTTCTTTAATAAAAGAATTTTACCTCTTAATGGAATGTTGTGAGTTTTCACAAAACATATGAGACGTGTCATGCCATCCACCGATTGACTCTTTGGTTCATTTTCTTTTTCTTTTTCCTTCTTCTTGCCTAATCTCATTACTGAAAAAAGAAAAAAAAACATTTTTCTTTACATGATACAATCTTAAATGATGCTTCTCCGAAAATTAATATTTTTTCCTAGAAATAAATATCTAGTTTAATTTCATTCTTACTTTTTTGCTTTTTTTCTTTTGTTGTGAAATTCATAGATAAATGATGTCCTGGAATTTCTCCTAGTGAAGGAAGTCTTTGTACATGCAACGATCTAAAAGCTTGACGTAACGTGCTCTTTCCCTTTTCTCCTTGAGTCTGTTTACTCCAATAATCTATCTGCAACTCCACCGGTTCCCATCCTTCCCTTGCTGGTTGGCCCACATTAGGACTACTAGGTGGTGTCAACTTTCCAGGAGTTGGAACCGGCAAATTTGGAGGTGGTAAGGAAGGTGGAGAACCGGACATGCTAACATTACTTTCTTCCAGATCAACAGAAGCGGAAGAAGTGCTTTCTGGACAACCCACGCGAACATCATTTATAAAGGGAATAAAAATTTGGCTACTATCGTCTGTTTCCCTACGGATGTAATCAATCTCTGTTCAATGTGTATGTTCAGCGCCACTTTTAAGAAGAGAATTTTGTAAAGAGAATTTGTATTGATTACCTGTATGTAACCATGGCTTCTGCTATGGGTAATAGTAGAACCGTATTTGCGGTGGCTAGGTATTCCGAAACTCGTGCCGCGCCTTCGCTCGATCCTCCGCCTTCTCTCTCTAAAAGTTCCTTCCATTCGTCCCCGAAGAGTTTGGAATACTTTGCGTCGATAGAACTAAGATATCTCGTTAATGTGTTCGAACCGAGCGGCACCACTAAGAATTTCATATAATTCTGCCAATCTGGCGGTCTGAAGCTCAATAAATCGACATAATGACGAAGAACGGCGTTTATAAAACTATCTCCGCCAGCGATAACTACTTTTATAGGTGCCGGTGGTTTGGCAGAGCTGTTGCAACTAAACATAAAGATTTAAATTTAGTATATATATATTAGAATAAATTTTCAATTTTGAGAAAAAAAATCTTAAAATGAAATTGACTTGAATTCTAATGAAAACTTGATTGTATAAAATAAAAAAAGTTCATATCCATATCTTACAATGAAGAATAAGACGGAAAGAATTAAATGGTGTAATAAAATTTAAGTATGATAATTACAATTTTTGTATCCGCGTGACTAAACACGTGAATGTTGCACGTATATCAGCCGGAGAAGCGGTTGTTAAAACTTTATGGTTTCTTTCTTGAAGTTTTGTGGCAAGCACCGCACCACCGGGATCCGCTATGGATACCAGCGACACAGCCTCTGGTAAACTATCATCTGGTAATACTCGACTTAGCTGTTCGACTAAAGCTTTTCTCGGCTAAAATTAACAAATACAAATGTGATTTTAGAATACAATATTCAAAATAAAATTTTAAATATTTTAATGAAATCACATATACTTATATATTTGACGCCGCATATATATTAATTTTTAAATAAAAAATAGAAAAACGGACATAATTTAAATGCATTAAGTATAGATGATTCATACAGAATAACGATGATTCATACGAGAGCATAATTGAATGATTGTTACTCGTAATTACCTCTGTGTTATTCAAATCGGTCGAAGGTTTCAAATCGACGCTCAGACTGTGTTTCTTAGATTTATTACTGCCAGGCGTTCCTCTATCACGCGCAAAGAGTCTACTTCTCCTTTCGGAGCTCTCGCTTTTGTTAGGCTGCTCTGTTGACTTTGGTGGTGAACCCGCCATGTAATTTGGCGGATCGTTTGCTTCGTGATCTGTCCAATTTTCAGGGTGGGAATCGCTGTCGGCCCTTCGAGAACTATCATCGCTCTGTCTGTCCACTCCGCGTTCTGCAACGAAAATTCGTTACTGTCTATAAAGATATGTAACAACTTAAAATGTTATTAAAATATAATATACAAAGTGATCTTCACATAAAATCACCGGTATACATTTTAGCTTTTTTTTATTTTATTTTTACTTTTTCTAATACTTAATATCAAATATATCGGCAATAAATCTGATTTATTATATATATTAAATTAAAATATATTTTAAGTTACTCAAAGGACACAAGATACTTTATTCGCTTGAAAGTAATTAAAATTAAAATTCATTAATTTCCAATTAATACAACCAATTAATGATAAGACTACGAAAAAAATCAATATTAAAATTATCATTTACTTTCTTTAATTTTATGATCAAGTTTAGAATATCGGTGATTTTAGAAAACTTTATATATATATTTAAGTGGGACAAGTGAAAAAAAGTGAAAAAGAGCACAACTAATGTGCCAATATTAAATTGTTCACAAAATGCAGCAGGCATCATGTATACGTGAAATTTTTGCATTTTCGAAATAAATTAGATTGTTACTAACAAATTCTTATCTGCATATGTATCATACGTTTATATATTAGCTTCAAATTTATAAATATCATTAAATTTAAATGCGATCAATTTTGAAACATCCATTTCGAAATGCTAATTTCAGTTTTAAAGATGTACATGGCACCTAGGGTGCATCTTGATTCGTATAAATTGTAACGATTACCCGTCAAATTTCGAACTAAAATGTACCTGTCGAAATCGCAATCATAGCATTTATTATAGGGTATTATTGCAAATAGATAGAAGTGAATTCGTGAGATAGTGCAAGTCGCAATGTTATTGGAAAGCAGAGTACACGACTAAGATTGACAGAATAAAGGATACGTACGTATATACGAGTAGATAGAGAGATACAGGCCAGTACCACAGATCGAAGTCTAACAAGATTACATACAAGAAGCCGCAAATAGACACACAGCATATGTAAGGGGAGTACAGATTCACACATTATAAATACATGTACTACGACTAGATCTTTCAAATGAAATTTACTCGATAAAAATTATAATAAGAGTAACTGCAAGAAAATTTCAATAAAAATTTATTTTTATTAGAACTTATACACATCGATACATACTTATATTATTTTGACAAAATATCGCAGAGAGGATGTAAGAATAATAGAAGATACAAGATTGAGAAAAAAAAATGTCAAAAGTATGTAAATTTACATCACACATACACACACACACACACGCACGCATACACACACACGCACGCACGCACGCACGCACGACACGCACGACACGACACGACACGACACGACACGAC